GAGGAATGGGGCACCGGCAGGAGGCGTCCTGGGTGTGGCTCAGAGGCCGGAAGGAACAGGCAGGAACCCCGGCCGCATCCCACTCACCTTCTGGCCCTGCATGTTCCACGTGGCCACAAAGAGGGCCAGGGTGCGGTCGGGGAAGTACCGGGCCAGCTCCTCCGCCCCCATCAGGGCCCCGCTCGCCAGCAGGCTCCCCTCCAGGTAGCTCCTGCAAGGACAGACTGAACTGGGGTGCGAGCAGACGCCCCTCGGGCGCCCCCAGTCAGGGCCTGGCAGACTGTGCTTCAAACAACCCGCCCAGCCCTGGTCGATGGGATCGGAGCCGAGGAGGCCGGAGCCCGTGTGGGGAGACGCGGCAGACAGACAGGCCTGCGGGGACGGGGAGCGGGGTGGAGTGACCCCCAGGCCAGCTCCCAGGAGAAGCTCCGGCTCAGGAGCCCCAGCTGGGGACTCACAGCTCTGGCCTCGGGAGCGGTGAGCCAGAAAGAAGCCCGCATTTGGGCGTCGTGAGCAAAGGGAAGATGTGGGGACGGCACTCAGGTTCTTTTCAAGCCGTAAACATGCCGACGTGGGTTCAATATTAAAGCCCCGAGCCCGTGGCGCCCGTCCTCCCTCCCCCAGGAGCGGGCGCTCAGCAAACGGGGTCCCAGACACCGGAGACGCCACGGCCCTGCTGGAGCCCAGCAGGAAGCCAGCGCCTCTGCCCTCCTGCCGAGTGGCCCTGGGCTCTCCCTCCACCTGGCACGGCCCTCGGCCATCAGCCTGGGCAGGAGTCACCTGGGAAGGACTGGGAGACCCGGTCAGTCTCCACCTTTATGCGCTGGACACATTCCAAGCACCCGGTCCTCTGACCCTAAAATAAAGGCACAGACGCCGAGCCCCACCCCCACCCCGGGGTCCCTACCTGCTGCGGACGTCCTTGGCTCGGATGGGCGCTAGGAGGCTGAAGGAGGACTTGGCCGAGCGCAGGGAACAGTCGTCGGAGGCCAGGGGGCTGGGGGAACGGCCGGGGCCCAGGCTGCTGTGGGCCCGCGACAGCCT